GGTGCCACGCGCCGGACGCGCGCGGAGGATGGAGGGGGGGTGGGGGGGTGTGCGCGCGGCGACGCGCGCGCGGGGCGGGCGCGCGTGGCGCGGCGCGTGCGGCCGCGGGGGCTCGCGAGCGGCGGCGGCGGCGTTGATAAGCAGCGCGCGGGCCGCGCGGCCGCAGCAGAGGCGCGGAGCGGTGCTGGGAACGAGACGGGGGTGGGCAGAGCGGCCCCCGCTCTTCTGCGATAGGGATTTTCTGTTTGTGTTGGGTTCGTTTCCCACTTTTTTTTTTTTTTTTTTTTTCCCCCCGTTTTGTATTTTTTTAAAAAAACTTTTTAATTTATTTGTATTTTAGTCCCACTTTTATTTGCGTTTTTTCTTTGCATTTGACATTCTTTCGGCGTCCGGCTCGCGCTTTCTGCATCCTTATTGCACTTTTTTTTTAAAGCTCATTTTCAATCTTTTTGTTTTCTACGCATTTTCCTTTGCATCTTACCCGCATTTAATTTTTTTTTTTTTTTTGCTTTTTTTTTTCTTGCACCTTATTCGCATTTTTATTTCCATCTCACAGGTACTTTTTTCTTTCTTTCTTTTTAAGTTATTATTAATTTTTCTTTTTCCATCTTAATTCACCTCTCCGTTCCCGTTTCCCGACCGCTCCCGGCGCTGCCGCGCTCCCCATCCCCGCCGCCGTGGCCCCTCGGCGATGAACGGCGGTGCCCCGCCGCCGCCCCCCGCCGCCGCCTCACGCTGCCGCCGCCGCCCCGCCTCTCCGGAGCTGCTGCGCTGCAAGCGCCGCTTGGCCTTCGCCTCCCTGTCGGGCAGCGGCACCGCGGCGGCGGCCGTGGCCCGGCGCAACGAACGGGAGCGCAACCGCGTGCGGTTGGTCAACCTGGGCTTCGCCGCTCTGCGGCAGCACGTCCCCCACGGGACCGCCAGCAAGAAGCTGAGTAAGGTGGAGACGCTGCGCTCCGCCGTCGAGTACATCCGAGCGCTGCAGCGGCTCCTCGACGAGCACGACGCCGCCGCCGCGTTCCCCGACGGCCGAGCGGGCCGCTCTGCGGGGCGGGGGGCTGTCGGGGAAAGCGGCGGCGGCAGCGGCTATTCCTCCGCCTCACCCTGTTCCTCCGAGGAGAGCGGCTACGAGCCCGTGCTCAGCCCCGAGGAGCAGGAACTGCTGGATTTCACCAGTTGGCTTGGGAGCTACTGAGCTGGCGGGAGGTGAGGTGGGCTTGGGGTATTGCTGCTTCCCAGCCCTTTATGCTTGGGGTGCTCGTAGAGTTGAAGTGGGCAATGGGATTGTCAGTGGGGTTTGGGTGGTCTATGGAGTTGAGTGATCTTGGAGTCGCTGGGTAGCCAGTGGGGTCAGGTGGCCATTGGGATTGCCAGTAGGGTTGGGTTGGCTGATGGTGGTTGAGTGATCATGGGGTTGTATTGTCCAGTGAGGCTGAGGTAGCTGGTGGGGTTGGGTGACCAGTGGGGTTGGGGTGGCTGATGAGATTGACTATGAGGTTGAGGTGGCCAATGGGTTTGACGTGGCAGACGGGATTGGGATGGCCAGTGGGATTGCTGATCAGGTTGGGGTTGCCAATGGGAATTCAGGTGGCCAGTGGGGTTGCCAAAGATATTGGGGTGGCTGGTGGTGTTGGGGTGACCAATAGAATTGAGTGGTCTTGGGAGCTGAGGAGGCCGTTGGGGTTTGAGATGGAGTAGACATGGGTTTTTATAATCTCTCTACAGCCATACCTTGATGCCTATGGTCTTCCACAGCAGCCAGCAGTACCCTACAAAATAAATCTCCCCCAGAAATTCTCAAGTTCCTCCTGGCTGCTTTCCTTGCTGGGCTGAAGTGCAATGGTGTCACGGCTCCAATGTCTGCTCTGGGGCTGCTGATGGACAAGGTTTTCACCCATTCCAGAGAATGGCTGTGCATCCCCTCGCAGCTACTTCCCATCAGCCTTTGGAAAGGTTGGAAAAAAGAAATGGAAACCACTTGATGCTTCCTTGTTTCTGGAGGGGGAGGGAATTTTTTATAATGTCAAATTCTATTTTATATGCAACTTGAACTGCCTATGGGAAGAGTGGTGTATGAAGACTTATTTTTGTATGAGAAACCTTAGGGAAAAGGGGTAAGGAGGTTACTCTATTTTCAGTCCAATTCCCTTGTTCTTGAACACTGCCAGCTGGAATGTTTGGGGAATATACACTGTTTAGATGAAAGGGTTTGTTTGTTTTTCTTTCTCCAAACACTTTACTAAAGGACTGCAAAGTTCTGTTGCATCTCACTGTGGTGTCTGACTCTGCCTGGTGTGAAGGTTCACTTCTCTGAAAACTGAAGTTGTTTTGTTTGTTTGTTTTTTAAAATGTATTGAAGGCATTTTTATATGCACTTGCTAGGATTTCTTAAGTCGTACATATGCAGTTTTTAAAAAGAGTATCATATTTTATGTAAATTGACTTTATAAATAAAATTCTATTTATAAATGGTTTCTGGGCTGCAAGGTGTATGTACCTACCAAGTTAACACCTGCCTGAGGACAAACAGTGCCCTGGGCTGTATGCACATGCTAAAAGCAATGAGGAGCAGCACAGCATCACACCACACTTATTGCTACTTGTAGTGCTGCCCACTTAGCAAAGATGGGCTAGAGGGGAGAAACAGGTGGGTCCAGGGCTGGCAGCTCCTCTCCTGGTTGTGCAGGAGATGTTGCAGGCAGCTCCTGACCATCACTTCTGGGCTCAAGCTGAATACCTGCTTAAGAGGCAAAAAATAAAAATAAAAAATTGCTATGAGCCCAAACACAGCCACAAGAGCATGGAAACCTATGGCACAGACTGTTACTTCCCTTCAGTAGCTCCAGTGAATGCTATTAGTGGAGTGAAACAAGCTGGCCTGTAGAATTTGCTGAGCTAAGATAAGACAGGGTTATTGAAATTGACCCACTTTGCAAGAAACAGTATGTGTAAACCTTGAATAATGGGAAGGTGGACTTTCCCCCACTACATTTTGAAAGGTACAATCACTCTCAAGCTCCAAATTCAGGAATTTGTGTGTGCTTTGCAACCAGATCTACAAATGTATTCTACATACACAATGCCATCTCAAGAGCAAAAAAAAAAAAAAAAAACAAAAACCAAAGGAAAATACAGGTTCTAACAGCAGGATAGCATTAGGAACTGCAGGCAAGGAGCAGCCTAAGGAAGAGCTGTTGTGCTTATGGCCTGTTCCCTAACTAAGGCTGCTTTAACAAGCTGTCCCTTGGGAAGACCCTGGGAATTGAAGTGCTCAATGAATTTGTTGCTGAAGTTCTCCCCCATGCAGCTCACCAACAGCCCCTGAGGTGGGAGGGAGGCTGTCAGCTGGCCTGGGCTTAACTCATCTGTTGCACCTGATTGGGGTGGGGGGGAAACAGGGGATTGGTGTTGGCTTAAGGGCTTCATCCTCACAGAGTACCTCTAAAAATGCAGTCAAACATTTAGGCTGGAGAAGAGCTCTGAGGTCAAACCTCATGCAGATCCCACGTGCTTATTCTCAGCCTAACCCAATGGCTAACCCCTTCTCCAAACAAATTAGGAAGCAGGATTGCTGTGTTTGCCTTCACAAGTTTCCCATTCCAGTAGAAGGCATTTGTGTGGATGATTTTACTATGGCTTAGCAGCTGTTTTCCTTCTTCAGAAGCACTGATTATTTCAGTATTTTCAATAGCAACGTTTGGCTTCAAGTCAAGGCACTCCCAGCATCCTTAGGAGGGTCAGCAGATCACCCAAGCTACTGTTGCAGCAACACGAGAGTGGTATCAACTGTAACAGTGTTAGCAAGAAGTTAGCCACAAACAGTAGTCACTTAAGTGATACTAACTTTAGGATAAGGGATTCTGTAAGCTCACCCTTGGGCTTCTCTGCTCCATGTGTGCAAACTGTCAGAGTGAAAGCATGGGGATAAGAGCCTTCTGCCCATGAGAGTCACCTGTGCAGAGTCTCCATGAGCACATCATTTCTTCTAAGGGATATAGCTAGGGATTCAGCACCCAAAACAGAAGCTCCAAGGCAGACACAAACCCAACTCTCAGGCCCAGAGCTGCAGGAGGGTCAGGCAGAAGAATTGTGTTGAGGAATCAGAATTAGTGGGAAAGAGTAGGCAGCAGCAACCTAGGCTCACCAGGGAGCATAGGTTTGTCAGTGTGCAGCTACAAAACACATCTGCAAGCCTCAAAACCAGTGAGGAAACAAGACCTGAGCAGTTTGCTAACAGCTCCAGTTACTCAGACCCACAGCCCACTGCTGGCCTCCTCTGTGTGGTCTTTGGTGTTTGCAAATTGCTTGTTAACCTGCCCCCAGCCCATCTCACACACCACTAAAACTCCCGACCTTCCCATCTTCCCACCCAGCAGTTCCCACATCACAGATGCACTGATGAAGTGGAAATAAGTCGTGGGACCACGTTAGGATGGGCAGCCCCTTCCCCAGACATAAGTAACCTTCCTGTTTTCAACCACCTCCCTTGCTAGCATTTGGAGGTACTCAGGCCAAAGCTACACTTGTTTTACCCAGCACTTCCCTTGCAACAAAGCACACTTTATTTCACTGCAGGGGTTAAATGGTGCTCCTCCTCCTCATGGGCAGCTTGAGGCTTAGTTCCATGGCTGCCCTACCCTGGAGCCTGCTGTTTGGAGAAGTGAGTTGCTGCTTCTCTACCCAAGGTCTGAAGACAGGTTTTGCTCTTACCAGTGCTTGGTCTCTACCATACCAACTAGCTTTTTCCATCTTCTTTCCCCCCCCCCCCCCCCCAATAATCATGGAGGAGGTTTAAGCCTATACTGAAACACAAGCACAAGAACAGAGAACTAGTCCTAACAAGGCATATACTAGAGAGGGATCACCGTGTACCTGCTGGGAGCATCACCAAAAGCATCATCCTCAGGGAAAGCCCAGGCAGATAGGGTGCTTCAACACCAGCAGGCAGGAAGAACCCAAGTGAAACATTTGATATCTGCCCAAGGTATCGATGTTGATCTATAGTGAAGAAGAAACAGTCATGGAGAGAAACAGATGTAAGAGGACATGATCAGCAGTGGCAGATACAGAAAGAACAGGGGTGTGATCTCAAGCATTAGGATAACCCTACTGACTTCAGTCAACTCATCCTGCACATGGCATGCAGACAGCAGGAAAGAAAACATATTTGAACCTCAACCCCATAAATGCTTTTATTCTTTTTGTGGGTAGACCTTGGTAGGATCAGAGGCATAAACATTAGAAAAGAAACTTCTGATAATAGGACTGCTGGCTGCCAGAACCAGAGCAGTGCTGAAAGCTTGGACCTTGGAACATCCAGCTTACTGCTGCAGAAACCTGCCTTCTCTCCATCCCCTTTCATCTTCTGGCCTCAGCCCCACTGCTTTAAACCTCCAGTACAATGGTTACCCAGTCACCAGACCCAGTAAACTGTGCTTGCTTTTTAAGTTGTTTGGCTTTTCATTTTTTTTTTTTTTTTTTTTACAAAGGGGAAGAAAAACCAACACAGAGAAGCATGATAGCCCCAAGGGGAATTTTCTGTTAAAGCCACTGCCAAAAGAATGACCAACTTGTAAGTGAGATGTTGACACTTTTATAACACAGCAAATATCTTGCTTTAGAGTAAAACACTTCAAGTTTTTTCTTTTTTTTTTTTTTTTAACTTTAAAGAAATAGATTTTGTCAGGATATTAAATACTAGGAGGAAGTGTTGCAATGCTCAACACATTCTCTCTTCTTGCCATTTCCCCATTTTATACACACAACTCCATCAGGATTTCACAAAGGAGCCCCAGTCCCTATAGCAGAACTATGCATGCAAAGAACAGATGAAACCTACTAGACAAATAAAACATAGTGCAGAAGTATGCACAAACATAATAGTTCTCTTACCAACACAGAGAGACCTGCCCCCCCAGTTCTCAGCACCAGCTTGACTCCATCGAGGGCTTGATTATATAAATGGAAGTCAACTGGTTTGAGTGCAAGCACCTGCTTCCTTTGGTGAAACACCTGTGTGCCATTCCCTGCTGAAGGGTCTCTGCACTTATCTCTTCTTTTGGCCCAGGAGACACATGGCACCAGAGTAAGTGTGCAGCACATTCTGCATTTGGGTCTGATTTGAATGGAAACGAGGATACTCTGCACTGACTCCTCGCCCAATTCCCCCAAAACCCTCTCCAGTAGCACTGATGGCTGTCCCACTGCTGCATCCCCACATGCTGCAGAGATCTAGGGCAGCACGGGGGTAGTTTATACCCTTCAGTCTTTGGTCTCACTGCAGGACAGTCAGTAAACAGGGATTTACTAAGAGAGCAGAGAGGCTTTTGAAGTGGGGAGACCACAAAGCTCATTTAGGATGCACACACCACCGAAAAACCCCAACCACCAGACAGTAATAACTTCAAACCAGTGCTGACTGGAGTTGAAAACAGAGATGTACGGGCAGAAAAAGAGCACCTAAGCCAAGTACAGAAGTGGTGTAAACTGAATATGACTCTGTCTATGATGCTGGAGAGAGCTAATGGTTGCCGGCAGGCAAGTCTTGTTGTTAAAGAAAATCACACACCTTTCAAGTCTAGCAGAAATCATGATGAACCACCTCTGTGCAGTTAAATCAGGTGGAGAGAGCAAGGCTGCTTTCCATGTCCTACATATCACATGGCCATACTGTGAGGTCAGGATCCTTGGTGGCATCTGGGGTGCCAGAAGGGTAGATGGACTTGGTGTGGGACACTGACTGCAAATTGTTTGCTTTTGCTGCCTTTGGGGAGCAAGTGAACTGAACAATGCCCTGCTGCCTTCTCAGTCTGATTTCTCACTCTCTGTTGAAGCAGCATCACCATTGCAACGCTGCATCCTTCCCTTGGTAGCATCACTGTACGCCATACATTAACCACTAATAAGCTTCCCACTAAGATCTGAGCAATATGGAAACTATTAGTTTGCCAGAACTGACTAAGTTATTTATTGAGAATTGGGTGGGGAATTTGTTGCTGCTTGCTTTCCCCTAGTAATTTATGGTCTGAATGGAGACTTCATTTTTGAGCAGAAAATGCTCAACAGCTCCAAGCCTGTTCTGCATCAGGCACCATGCACACCTGCATCCTGTGCTCCTGCAGCCCAACAAGATGAGGTGGTCCAGCCACAGAGACTGCATCAACAATGGAGTACTCGTAAACCAATCACTTTAGCTCATTACTACATCTGCTCCTATAGGGTGCACGGATCAGATCCGTTGATTGAACCTGATGATCCTGAAGGTCTATTCCAATCTAGGTGATCCTATGATTCTATGACTCAAGACATGAGAACTTCGGACCTCATTCCTTACTGAGGGTTGGAAACATCAGGAATTTTCAAGCTGGGACTTGCTTGGTGCAACTGACTTCAACAGCACAGCCTTTCCAATGGCAAGAATTTCCCCCAGCAGAGCTCGGGGCGGCTGCAGAGAAGTTGAGAGATGCATGGGGATGCTTGTCCCAAAACTATTTCAGCCACTGGGATAGATTGGATGTTCTGAATTTACATTCCTAAAGCAGCATGGAATGGGATCCATCCGGCAGAATAGCCCTAAGCATCTCCTGCCCCCTACAAAGACCTTTTTCCTCTGTTCTGCTGCCTTCAATATCCCCCCAGCCCACCTTTAAATTAATGTTACATCTTGTTCCACTCTGCTTTTTTCTTAGAAAAAGAGATGGAACAGGGAGGGCAGTATGGGGTGCAAAGGAAGGGAAGAAAATGGAAAGAAGGGAAGAAAGTGAGAGGCGAGGAGGGTGAGGATGGGGCAGGATGGCCTCTGGCTGCCATGCATTGGGCTGAGCCCTATCCATCTAAATAAAGGGGCTATCCTGACTGTGTCCCAGCTGGAAGAGGTTTTGTCGTATTTTGGGTTTTGATGTCGTCCCTCCCCCCCCATCCCCTCTTTCATCCAAACCGCATCAAAGTACCCTGTATCCCCCAGGCCTTTCCGCTCCATCCCTGAAGGCACAATGTCCCCTCTTGCAGCCACCCCTGAGGCAAAATTTCCTACCTCCTTCCTCTCATCCTGATGTAAATAAACCCCATGGAGAGCGAGGCAAGGAATAGAGTGGGACAGATGTGCCATCCGACCTACCCCAGCAACGCAGTGAGGGCATGATTATGGGGAGGGTGTAAGAGGGTGTCGTGTGCTCAGGGCTGGATTCACTTGCCCAGTGCCCTACAGCAAGTTGGGGTGGAGTGATTCAGAGAGATTTTGCAAATTTTGTCCCAAAAGAGAGTGTGGCTGCTTTTCCAAGCCTGCACGCGTCCCTGAGAAATCCAAAAGCACAGAGACATGATACAGCCCATAACCTATGAAATCTTAAAGCCTTCGTGCTGTGTGTTTGATGCTGTCCAAAACAGAGGAGACCTCTCCACCCCAAAGTCCTTGTCTGCCCGTTTCAAATACTTCTTTGGCTGCTCAAGGTGATACAGTCAGATCCTAAATTAGTCTCTTATAATCTAAATTGAATGTAGACCCAAAAAATCCCCTGCTTTCTGATGTTTCTGGTTACACAATAACCCTGGCTCTCCTCCTCAGAGGAGTGAAATGGCAGGATTTTGAAATTCCTTGTTGGTTCATGTTTGCATATAAATGCTGATATTATCTTTTCTGTACACAAAGTAAACACAAAGCTGTTTTACAATGATGTTGCCGTTGAAACATGCACCCAGGATGGCAAAACAACCCTGACTTAGATACGTTTCCAGGCCCAAGGACCATTCTTTCAGAAGAAGAAGCCACCCTCTCCAAGATGCCCATCCCACCCTTTGGGTCCTGTTGGTTTGGTTCAACACTCAGCTTTCATCAGACAGGAATAATATTCAGAAGTAGAAGTGAAGTGGTGATGGTAAAAAGATGTTGGGTGTCCCAGGCCAGCAAGGATGGAGCTGAAGTATTCCATAGATCCCCATGAGATGTGCACTAAGATGTCAGTGCCCAGCCCCACTAAAATTTGGCAGTGATGGCACTCACAGAGTGGATGTTGCAGAAACTCCATCCCAAAATTAATTACCTCTGGTGGAAGAGGCACTCTTAGGTGTGACAGGAGATGATAAAAATCCAGAACAAACATCCCCCTTCGGCCATTCTGGAGTGTGGTGTCTGCTCCCAAGTTAGTCACTTGACTAGTCATTGGTGTTAATAGCCCACAAAGACCGAAGCTGTCTTTCTGCTTGCTGCAGAATGATTATTTGAGAGGGGATCCAGTGCCCCTGGGTGATGCCCATCCCTCCTGGAGACTGTAGGTGGGTCTGTGGTGAGCAGATTCATCACTTGTAGCCAGTTTAGGTGGTCATGGGTTGATGAGTTGCCTCCTGCCCTATATACTTGAGAGCTCTGGGAGGCTGAAGCACTTCTATTGAAGAAGTCACCTCTGAAATAGCACACATTCAGCCCAAAGTTCACTGAAGTCCAGATTGACATAGCTTTCAGTGGCTTTTGTGTCAGGCCTGTTGAAATGCATGAGGCTGTATCAGAAATGAATCCTTCTTTGTTGCTGATATTCTCTGTACCTGTTCTACAACACAGATCTAATTCAAAAAAGCCCACAGTCTCTATCCCTGGCCAACAAACCTTCACCTTTAAATGGTAATAATTGCATCCAGAGAAAACTGGGCAGCACTTTGTTCATATCCAAGCAGTCACATATGATTCAAATCATTCTATGTTTGGCACTGCAGGAGAAAAACTTGATAATGCCATCATTTCCTACGTCTGTAAGCTGCTCTTGTTGGAAGCAGTGGGAGAAATCCATAGTCAGAAGCCTGCTGGCATGGCCACCTGAGAAAGACTCAAGAGTCGGCAGTGGAAAACATGGATTGTCCTGTAACATAGAGGTTAAATCACAGCAAATCACACCCCTTGCTGTCATTTGCATCCAGATAATTAACACCAATGCAAATTTCATTACTACGGGCAGAGCCTGTCTGGAAGTCTGAGTATCAGCTAGGACCAGAGTAAAACAAAAGTGTATTTAGTTGTCAAAAATCGTAGGAAATGCACAGGTATCCGGGCTGTAAATGCATGAGGTCCTCATCTGGCCTTGCTTGGGTGGCTTTTACTGCCTACATCATTCCTATAGGAAACTCAAATGGGTTTCAGTCCATAAAGAGGATGGGAACTCTATTAATTGCCTTCTAGCTGTGAGACAAATCCAACTCCACCTCTCCCTGATCCTTCGTCCTGCCAGAATCCCAAATCGTGGTTCCTTCTGAAAGCCTGGGGATTTTCCAAGGGCTGAAGAATCCTGCCCCTGTCAGCCTCCAGGCCTGCATGGTGAGGCGCAGGTCTCCCTACAAAAAGCCCTATGATATGCATCCTCTATAGGCTCTAGATGTCACCGCATCCATCTGGCATGCCCTCCATGTCCCTGTAGCTCCTGCGTCACCTCTGGCCTCACCAGGCAGTGATTAGTGGTGCCCATCAATCAGCCTCTGTGAAGAACGTGGCGGGTGGTTTGTGATTAACCTTGGGGGACCTTGTCCTCCTGCCACCGTGTTCCTCCAGAGCCCCCCCCCAGGTTATCTGTGAAATGAGGCAGGATGCACTGGGCCCCTGGAGGACAGCTCTCCTGTTCTTTTCTTATGGAAATGGAGAGGTCTCCACTGCTCCTTTGAAGTTTGCTCTGCAGGGGTAAAAAAAAAAAAAAAAAAAAAAAAAAAATCAGGAATCATGTTTTCCTCCAATAACACAAAGCAAGGAACAAGGTTTGGGACAGTTTGGGTTAGTGGAAAGTTTTCTTCTGAGAAGAGAAAGTGTCAAACCTTGGGGCAGTTAGAACAGAGGACAGAACTGTGTTGGACACCTCCCTGGCCATGCTTGGGTGGCATTAGGACATCCTGCATCTGCTGGACCAACACAGCACAAAGTACAGTTCTTGCTTTCCAATAGTGATGATAGTGATTTCTTAATTGGTTACAGTGCCATTTAATAGCATTATCATTATCCAGGTCTGGCTGGAGAGGCTAAGCTCT